TGACAGATATCACATGACACCGTTAAAAATAATGTGTGCATAGTGCAAAATAAAGTACTCCTAATTAGAAACATTTGAAACAACACAAAAAATTTACATAAATGATTCTCCATGAACAAAACTTTAGAAGTGACATTTTTAATAAAAGACGATGTTGTCTTGAAAAAAAATACGCAATACATAACACTAATGGTACTTAATTTGACGTCTCAAACATTACAATCACATGAAATTGCATTCCCAATACTTTCTCTAACTTTATGCATTTGTTGTTGGCACACATCAAATTGCTTTGTTTCATTTTTATGAGCAAAGCTTAACAAGTGAATAAGTATTTTTTATATTTTTTTATGTAAAAAAGTATGGGTAGTATTTTTTGTTGCCGTTATAGCTACAACTGCATCAAAACATGTTTTCTTTAAGTCTTAAATATTCTTTATTTTAAGTTCAAATGTCCAATTGAGAGATTTTTTTAAAGCTGCATATTTTTTAATGATCTATGGATTAAATAAAGTTGGTATTAGAAAGTTATTTGTTATAGGAAAAATTTATGATAAATAAAGAAAAATTATAAAACACTTAAAACGTTAGACTTGTTTTTCTTTTTAAAAATAAAATAGATTACTCAAAATAATGTGGGGTAAAAAAAATCATATATCCGAATCTTTTATTAAGGCAAAATGAAAACTGTACAGTGTTCCCGCCCAAACACTGTGCAGTAATGGGCCGGGTCAGTTAAAATGGGTCCAAACCGGGTCATCCAGCAAAATTGTGCTGCAAAAATAATAAAAAGAACATTTTGCAATGGGTGTAGCAACGGGTATGGTGACAGGTTCAACGCTTCTCGGTACATGTGATGAAAAAAATTGGCCTGTGTCAAACTTTATCTGTACGTGTGCACAGTAGAAACATTTAATGAAAGCAAAATAGTACAAGACTCCACAAGAGAAAGTGAAACGAGGAGTAGTAGAAAGTTAAAAAGTAAAGTGCAATAAATGGCGATTGGACATTAGGAAGCTTGAGCTGCTGTAGCACTTTCAAAAGCAGCCTCTGTCGTAAATTGTCAGCCTGTGTATTGAGGCATGCACACCAAAATCTATAATAAAAAAAAAACTATCCAGCCCAAAATAGAAAAATATCCAACACATCAAATCTTGCCAGCCTATCACATGTGAATCTTCCTTTGGAAGGATCCTTAAGCATTCCCTATAAGTACCAGGGACTTCATTACAAATGAACACCACTCCATACTTCTACCTCTTCTCTTTTGTTTGAATTTTTGAGCCTGTAAATCAAGAAAATCATCCCTCATGATCAATGGAAGCTATTCTTTTATTGATGAGAACTGGAAAGTATATCAATGCAAAGTACTGAAAGGAGAAAAGCAAGTGGGAATACAACTCTAGAAGTATAAGCAAAAGATGGAGCCCAGACTTCTTACACAAAAGCAATCATCTACATGAAAAGAGTGTTTGGAGCTTTGGTTCATTCATGTATTCAATGTTATGTAATATGAATCATAATAGAAACACAAAATCAAACCCAAATACATATGTACATTCAATTTGTTTGCTCTAAACGACATTGGCAATGAAGTTTAAAGCTGTTAGTGTTCACACTTGCTTATCAATGTCATTTGAATGCATACATATAGTTGAAAGCAAACATCCAATATTTTAACCGTTTTCAAAAGAAACTTTAATTAAGAAACAAATTCAAAAGCTGACATTTAAATAAGAAACATCCAATATTTTAACCGTTTTCAAACGACATTTAAATTTATTACACAAAAACTGATTTTGATTTTATTTCAGTGAATCTTTATTGTTTTCTGTTGGTACAAGTAACCTATTTAATAGATAAAGATAAAGAAATTACCGGGTACTGTATTACTTTTTTTGTGAAGAGGGTACTGCATTACTTACCATAATAGAATTTGACTTCATTTTTTGGGTAAAGCTTGATATCAATAAAGAAATAACATTGTTTGTAGACTAATTATCAAAACGGATCTCATTTGATTGATAAAGAATGTACTGTAAATAGAAGCTATTAATAAGAAAGATGCACTGTAAGCTTTCTTTAGGGGCAAAATTTCAGTATCTACAGAGTTAGAGTTAACTTTATTAGTTTATAATTCTATTTGTGATTAACTACTTTTGGCAGACCTGTGTTCCAAATTAATTGGTAGTGTGTATTTATCATGTATGATTTCAGTGTGTGAATTACGGCCTTGCTAACAAACAATGACTTAGAAAGTTGTAAGGGTTTATATATCATGTTCCAAATTATAGGCACGCTATGAAGATTAAGAAGAGAGTTTAGGCAAAATTGGAAGAGTTTAGCCAATTCAGGCAAGTAATGTATTCAATACAAGACTTCAGATTACATTGAATATAGTTAAGTGAGGCAGTGTTTATTGAGCTTGAATCATTCCACAATAAATGTTTTCTACAAGGTATTAGACAATGCATAGAACCCATGTATGACATCTGCAAACAAAACTTAGCAGTAATTCAACTTGCAGAGAACAGTGATCTCTAAATAAACTAAACTTCTCAAATTAATAATTATAACTGTTAAGGACAAACAAGGGCTTACACTTTGGGAAGTACATATGCAAACTATGTTCTTTGACGGTCTAAAATACACCAAAAATCTGGAAAATGACCAACATAAGTTCTAATTTGAAATAAGATACTCGATCACATGTGCATCTTAGCATTAAATGCTAATTAGTTTTGTATGTGGCAAAAAAATCAGGGATTATAGTTAATTAATTTTGTAGAATTTGGATCTTTATTTGAAACGAAAAATGGTTTCAATGCGTAAGAAACTGATATTAATACGGAGTCTATAGAACTAATAGAAATATACCGAAAATAGAGTCGACAATATTACAAGGTTGTTCGCTAACAGTCGGCCGGCAACGGAAATACGCGGATAGTATACCGGCAAAGCTCAATCTCCACCGGAGGAGTCCAACTCATCCACAGAGAGCATGAGATTTACGTATGATCATTTGGTGCATAGGAGGGGAGGAGGAGATAGTGATGGAAGGAGGTGTAGAGTATCAATTTCCTGATGAATCGTTAGGTTAGGGAGAAGTAATTTCCGATGATGAGTTGCACTGCATCGGTTTAACTGATGAATAATGGGGAGTTTTGGTGTATAAGGAGTATATATATCTAGGGTTGGGTCTGGGTGGATGGTTTAGTGGATATGGGTTGTGTGGGCTCCGAAATGGGAGTGGGTTGGGCCTGAAAGTTAATAGGTTATACTCATTTATCTTCAAATGTGGATAAATCTTAATTATAAACATATTAAGGCTCCATTTGGTAATACCCAAATTGATTATATTGACTGATTCCGTTGAAATTTAGGAAAATTGTGGCTCAAATGGATGGAATACTAGATTGACTAATTCTATTGATTTATGGAAAAATGATTTAAATATATTTTATTGATAAAATAAAGAAAAATTTATATGAAAACAATTAAAATGATTCTCTACAGTAACTTTAGCCAATATAGCCACAAACGTGACTTCAATTTTATTTTTCTTATTTTATTATTACGTGTTTAATAAGAAAGTTGGCTGATAAAACAAAAAACATGGTCACCAAACAGGCACTAAATGAGGTGGTGTGGGCTTAAATGTGCTACCACAAAATACAAAAATATTTACTTGAAGAATTGGTTTTGTGTTTAATAGCATGTATTGATTTCATTTCAATTTACATAAATATTTTTTTTGCAATGCAATCCAAATATATTTAATAGTTTTATTCATTCGAAATATTTTATACTCCGAGTAATGTTAATCGGAATAACAAGTTTAATATTGTTAATCGGAGCATGATTGGAATAACAAGTTAGAAATTTCTTGGAATCTTTTAAATGTTAATATACTACTATAATTGTTGGGATTATTAAGATCTCTAATACAATTCATTATATTTAGAATAGTGATAATCTATAATTTGTAATATTTACATTATTTATATTATTTGTAATTTATAATATTTGTAATTTTATAATATTAATAAAATTGGATCAGACATTCGATAATCACTTGATTTGGAATTCATATTCTGGAACAACATTTTTGGTGGAAAATGTGATAGTCAAGAAGTACTTATAGGACGATTGACGATTACACTATCAGATGCACCAATACTTCAAGTTTGATAAAAGACAATACCCGATCATGACGTTCTATACAATGACAATAAGACACGAGCCAAGTCAGTCTTTGTCGCTTTTTTCAAGGTTTGAAAATCATATAGTAAAGTTCTGAAAATAATGATTTGTGAATACAATGATCAACATATTGTCGTATTGATCATACTACTAATATTGTTTGATCAACGTATTGATCATACTACTAATATTGTTTACAAACAAGTGTTTCAAAATTTTAAGTTTGTTTGCTCATTGTAATGTTTGTATTTTATGTGCTTTAGGAACATTGTAAATGTTAATATCTTTAAATCTTAACTAAAAATTTTGGTTAAGATTTATGTAGTTAAATCTCAGTAAATCCCAAAATGTAGTAAATGTTTGAAAATGATCATACTACTGAAAATTTATGTAACATACTCCCTCCGTTCCATAAAAATTTTCAAACTTACCATTTTGGGATGTCCCCAAAAGTCTGCACATTTCCTTTTTTGAAAAGTTTTGTGTGGTTAACATTTATTTACTTTTTTCTTACTTAACCACAACCACACATTTTCGCATTATTCTCACTTGCTTAATATTTATGCCAAGTCAAAGTGATAAGTATCTTTGGGACGGAGGGAAAATTATTCTATAACTCTTGATTTTACACATAGTACATTATAATTTTGTCAATCTTGATTTTATTTCTCATCGTTAATATAAACAAAATTTTATATGATTGGATTATATTTTGCCCCGTGCATCGCACGAGTGAGAATCTAGTGTCAAACAAATACAGAATGCACTCTAGCATTTCGCATTTTCATTTTGGAAAATTCGACTTCTCCAGAAAGAAGCAAGACAGCTTTGCATTTTTCAATTTTGAAAAACAAAAAAAAAACATGTTAACGCTGTTGAATAATGATTGCATCTGAGTACGTCTACGGTCTCCACCGGCCCTCAAATAATGGCAATGGTTTGGTTAATCGTCTTCTTCCGCGTCCGCACATGGATTGGGGACATGTAGCAAAAGGTGAATATGTACGTACAAGTGAGCAGGAAGTGGTCGGTGGTCACATTCTTGCACTGCTCTTACATTTGATTTGCTGTTGGGACGACTTGACTTGGTGGTGGGCTCCTATTATTATCTATGGAACCAGAGCAGCACAAGAGTGGTTGAGAGAGAGGAACATACTTTAACAAGGTAATAAAGCATGGGTGTAGTATTGTTGTTGATGGCAGTGGGGGTGCTGGCGATGAGCGTGAGTGCTGGTAAATGCATTGATGGGGAGAGGGAAGTGCTGCTGAAGTTTAAGCGCAGCATTGTTGATGAGGAAGACAGTCTGCGGTCTTGGGGTAGCCATAACAAAGATTGCTGCAGGGGTTGGACTGGAGTTAGGTGTGATCACCACACTGGTTATGTCATCAAGATTGATCTTTCTAATGTGAGGAAGCTGTCCAGGAAAGCTCCACATACCAGACTTTCTTTTATTGAGCTTCGCTATTTGAAGTATTTGAGTCTTGCCTACAGCAGCAACTTGCTGGCAAACCAGAGCATCTCAACATTGATTGGGAATAATGTGGTTTCCCTTCAACATCTCAGTCTTGTATTCATGGGAATTGTTGGAAACATTTCCCATGATTTTGGAAGCAGCATGCCCGCCCTCAAACACCTCGATCTCAGCGGTAATAAATTACAAGGTCCCATTCCTGAAAATTTTGGGAACGGCATGCCTGCCCTCACATACCTTGATCTCAGCTATAATGCGTTACAAGGTCCCATTCCTGAAAATTTTGGGAACAGCATGCCTGCCCTCACATACCTTGATCTCAGCCGTAATGGGTTACAAGGTCCCATTCTTGAAAATTTTGGCAACAACATGCCTGCCCTCATACACCTTAATCTCGCAGGTAATAGGTTAAAAGGTTCCCTTCCTGAATATTTTGGAAACAACATGCCTGCTCTTACACACATTGATCTCAGCTATAATGGGTTACAATGCTCCATTCATGAAAATGGTTTTGGGCATATGTCTTCCCTTGCATATCTTGACATTGGTGGAAACTTTTTGGGAGGTAAAATCCCAACGAGTTTCGGGGGAAACATGACTAGCCTCACGTATCTTAGCCTGAGCAATACTAGTTTACAAGGCTCCATTCCTGAAACATTAGGAAAGATGCGTAAGTTGACTAGCCTTGACCTGAGTGATAATAGTTTGGAAGGTCACATTCCTGATGCTCTAGCGAATATGTCCTTCCTTGAAGAGCTTAATCTTTCGGATAATATATTTGAAGGAGAAATCCCTAAATTCATTTGGCAGATATGCACTCTGTATATCCTGAACATGATATCCAACCGTCTTAGTGGAAACATAATCATATCCACATTATGCCCAAATCATCCTATGGAGTATTTATATTTAGGTAGCAATCGAATTACGGGGTCATTTCCTGAACTTTCCATGTTTCCCTCTTTGCAAGGATTAGTTCTTAGTGATAACCACCTAGATGGGGTCATTTCTGAACATCATTTTGTTACTCTCTCCAAATTAAAAGACCTTGACTTATCTTCAAACAATTTCACTTTCAATGTCACCTCTACTTGGCTTCCTCCTTTCCAATTGAGAACGATAGAACTCGCGTCTTGTAACTTGGGCCCTGAATTCCCAAATTGGCTTAGAACTCAAGTCAACAATGTACTGCTTGACATTTCCAATAATGCCATCTCAGATTCAATTCCCTCCTGGTTTTGGAATACAACTACTAATTTTATGAGCATTAATGTTTCTCATAACGCAATCAAGGGAAGAATTGTGAGTGAAGCTCAAGTATCATCGGGGTTTGAAATCGGGGGTTGGGTAGACTTAAGTTTCAATAAATTAGAAGGTTCCATTCCACTGTCATTCTTTAATGTGACATTGATGTACCTCTCTCATAATAACTTCACTGAACTCACCTCCCTATGTGCCATTAAGGATCCTAAGGTGGCTGCTGGTTTGCATTTTTTGGATATCTCATTCAATCAACTTTCAGGAACACTTCCAGATTGTTGGTCAAGTCTCTCTAGTCTGGTAGTTCTCAACTTGGCAAACAATCACAATCTATCAGGGAGTCTTCCAACTTCTATTGGATCATTGACATCCCTAAAGGCATTGCATCTTGACCGTAACAGTTTTACAGGCGCTCTACCTTCATTCATCAAGAACTGCTCCAAATTGGTATCTCTACATCTGGGACACAATAACTTATTCGGACCACTACCAGATTGGGTGGGTGAAAATCTACCACAGCTTGCGATTCTTGTGCTAAGATCCAACCACTTCAGTGCAAGTGTACCCACAAGTCTCTGTCATCTCCAATCTCTTCAACTGTTAGACCTGTCCATGAACCACCTCACAGGGAGTCTTCCTAAATGTCTTTCAAATATTACTCAAATGACTATAATAAGAGGCGGCAGTGCTACCATTTCTTATGAAATACCACTCTTTCTCATTGGTCCAGCTTTTTTAATGGATGTACCCATCAAGGAAGTTGACAAAGTAGATACTGTATGGAAAGGCATGTTATCTGAATTTGACATAACATTAGGACACGTAAAAAGCATTGATCTATCATCCAACATGTTAACCGGTGAAATCCCAAATGAAATCACATCGCTTGTTGGGCTGATTTCTTTGAACATATCATGAAACAACCTAAGGGGACAGATTCCTTTAAGGATTGGTAACTTGGCAAACTTAGATGTTCTTGATTTGTCTAATAATCATTTGTCAGGTAGCATTCCTCACAGTCTTGCCCTGATTGATCGCATTAGTGTTCTCAATGTGTCCAACAATTACTTATCAGGCAAAATTCCAAAAGGCACTCAACTTCAGAGCTTTAGTGCAAGTGCATACATGGGGAATCCCGGGCTGTGTGGAGATCCACTCCCCAACAGTTGTCAAGGAGAAGAATTAACCCATCCTTCTCGCCCTAGATTCTGTGAAGAAGAAGAAGAAGAAGCTTGTAATAAAGAAGACGCAGACAAGTTTCTTGGCAGTGAGTTTTATGCAAGCATGGGGGTCGGATATGCGGTTGGATTTTTAAGTGTTGTTGGGACAATGCTATTCAACAGGTCTTGTAGGTTTGCTTTTTTCAAAGTCTTCAATGATTTTGCTAACTGGGTTTATGTTGTGGCTGCAATATATAAGGCAAAGCTTCTGACAATACTTCGGGGTTAACAAGTCAGGGTAAGTACCCCTTACTTATTTCACTTGCATCCCCTTCAAATAACATGAAAGTAGTTAGTAACACTTTGAGTTTATATATTTCCACTTTTTTTTAAAAGTTTTGTATTGTAATTTTATTGTTCCTCTTTGATACTGGTTATCTGTTGGTTTATTTTTTGTGGAGTTTGGGCCACTTTTGCCTATTCCATTCTAGTCCATTGTGATTAAAATCTTTTAGTTTCACTTTTGCAAAACATTTATGTTCTAAAACGACTAACAAAGTTTCCTTCTTTATCGATTAAGTTTCCTTCAATTTAGTTATGGGTGATGAGGAAGAGTTCGGAATTTGTGAAAGAAATTGCTCAGAGGGGTATTACAGCAGTTCATGATCGATGCAGCAGATATATACTGTATATCCAATAAAGTATATTTAGTTTTCTAATTTTCGAAAAGGTCTTTGTTAAGGGCTTTATTACCATAAGCCTTTCGGTCTGTGTAGGCTTTGTTTGCAACTACTTGTGCTTAAATAAAAGCACTTTTGGGAAAAAAGTGATTAGTAGTAAAAGTTGTTAGTGTTTGGTAAAATAAGTGCCTTTTGTGTAATAGAAAAAGTAAAAAGTAGATTCTACACGGAAGCCGAGAAAGTAAAAGTTGGTAGTGTTTGGTAAAATAAATGTTTTTTTCTTAAAAAAAAGTTAAAAGCACTTTTTTTTAATGGATTGCAAACAGACCCGTAATATGTTTTCGGCGTATTCATATTTTGCGGTGTAAACTGTTGTCCTTTTGATTTGATGATATATGAATGCTATGTTAATCAAGCATAAAGATTTCCAAGTTTTTTTTCCTTATCTCAGCCATCCTTGTCTAGTGTTTAGATTTGTTTCATGTTGCCAAATGACAAAACCAGAATGTGCATGTTCCTAGCCTCATAAAATATACCAAAAATAAATCTAACCATAGTTTACTTCTAACACACACTGATAAGTAATCACTAACTATTCAACTTGTCAATTTTTTTAGGCTAAAGGGTCAAATAGGTACATAAACTAACTTAAAGTGTTCAATTAGCCCCTTATATAGGAGGTTCTGCCCGGCCGTCACCAATTGGGGCGGTTCCCGGTGGAATTTTTTGCTGAAATTTTTTTGAGCATCTTCTTCATTAAGTCTAGTTTACCCATATCAAATTTCAGCTAAAAATTAAATCAGGAAGGCAGTCAAATGATTTTCCGAAATGTACTGCGCTGTTTAACTGCACAGTTATCTTCAAAAAATTATTTGACTACCTTCCCGGTTGAATTTTTAGCTGAAATTTGGTATGGGTAAGCTAGACTTAATGAAGAAGATGCTAAAAAAAATTCATCAAAAAATTCCACTGAGAACTGCCCCAATTGATGACGACCGGGCAAAACATCCTATATAAGGGGCTAATTGAACACTTTAAGTTAGTTCATGTACCTATTTGACCCTTTAGCCATTTTTTTAAGTAAAAAGTTTATAAATTTATTTTTTTCTCTCATCTGCATAATTCTAAACCACACAATTTTACTTTTAATTTTACTTTTCTTATTTTATACATAACCCAAACTTGGCAATGTCCATTGGGAGGCATGCATAGGTGTCAAAGTATAAATTATGGGTGTCAATTTCACTCTCGGAAATCCGGTCGGACTACACAACAGATTATGTTAGAAAAGTATTTTCATAAATTCGAAAAGTTATTATGTAGGCAATGGTTGCATAACGAATAATTTCAAATATAGAGTTTTTAATAAGAAAAAGGCAGTCCTGTGTACATTTGTCTAGCGTGGGTGATTATTATATATTATAATTTTTATTTATCTTGCTGCTACTTAATAATGTATGTTATCCTTGGCAAGTTGATTGATCAATTAAGTAAGTGGATGTTGAGTTGTGCATGCTAAATGCATGAACATCAACATTATGAATACAGGAGAGTCCACAGAACTTGGGACTTTTCCATTTCATTAAGAAAAAACTAAGATTGTTCCATCTTTCATTTTCGGATTGTTTGATTAAGATTGTCGCATAGCAAATTTGTGTGGTTCTAAATCAATAGGGATAAGGTGCAAATAGGCCCATGTACTAACCAAAAAAGGTCAAATAAACCCTTATTTAGGAGGCTCTGTCCGACCGTCGCCATTTGGAGTGCTTCCCGGTGGAATTTTTTGATGAAAATGTTTGAGCATCTTATTCATGAAGTCTAGTTTACTCATACCAAATTTCAGCTAAAAATTCAATCGAGAAGACATTCAAATGAATTCTTGAAAATAACTGCGCAGTTAGAAGCACAGTTATTTTCAAGAATTCATTTGAATGTCTTCCCGATTGAAGTTTTAGCTGAAATTTGGTATGCGTAAACTAGACTTGATGAATAAGATGCTAAAAAAATTTCATAAAAAAATTTCACCGGAAACCACCCCAAATGACGACGGCCGGACAGAGTATCCTAAATAAGGGCTTATTTGACCTTTTTTTGTTAGTACATGGGCCTATTTGCACCTTTTCCCAAATCAATATTACTTACTTTATCTATTGAACATCAATTACATAAATCTATTTTTCTGAATACCTTTATTACCTCCTCATGTCCAATGTTAGTGGAATTGAAGTAGTACTAATTATGAGTATTTGACAGCCATTACCAGGGGATTTTACAAATATAATGATCAGGTGAATGAAGCAGTTGGGTGCTTTTGGGACATGTAGTTTGATCTCCAAGATCGTTTATGAGTTGGTTTGTTTGAATGTGAGTATAGGAGGGTGGGGATATGGTAAGGATGATGAAAAGAAACATATAATTACTTTGTAACCCGTTTCTCTTAGTGAAGTTACAAGTTTGACTTGTATCTGTAGCAGACTAGTATTGAGATTAAATCAAATAGATCTACTCAAATTGGTGGAATTGTGATTGAATGGAGTGAATTAAGAAAAAATTATATTTACATTTATGAATAAAATAAATAAAAAATCACATGAAAAGAAGGTAAAGTAATAATTTTCAGTTAATTTTAGGAGTAAAAAACATAAAATGCATGGTACCTATTGTAATTTGTAAAGGTGTCGAGTTGATCAACGTGCTCAAAAATGGGATGATCTTTTTTCGTATCAAACATATCTCAAACACAACGAAACAGAGTTATTTACCGGTTATATTGAACTTTGTCATATGCATTTCATAATTTTCATTATTCTAGAATGAATTATTTAACTAGGAATAAAAGGTAGCCAAAAATCACAAATAGATTAAAATAAATATGCATTTGTAGCATTGTGGATTAAAATAAATATTTAATCAAATAGATAAAAATAAAATATTAGAAAAATAAATAATAATAAAAATATCACCGCCACCTCTGTCATCCCCAACACCACCAGCTCCGATCACCGGAGAAAAAATGCCAACATGCGTTAGTAATGACATATTTATGATAGTTTTTCACCAACCGGAGAAAAATGCCAACATGCATTAGTAATGACATATTTGTGAACATTTTGGTATTAGCAAAGAGTATCTTGGCATTTTTTTCACCAATCGGATGTGGTGGTGTTGGGAGGTGGTAGAGGCGGTGAGAAAGGCATTCATATTTTTTTCATAATTTTATGTTTTTTTACTTTTTTTAATTAATTTAAAAACACTTAAAATATTTATTCTATAATTTTTTTTTACGAATTTATCTTTCTAAGATTTTATTATGAATTAAAACATTTTATTAGGAATTAATACTCTTATATGATATTTAGGGTAAAAAAATTTATGATATCCTATTTGTGAATAATTTTAGACTCTAGTGATCTAGTCCTACTTGTGAAATTAAATTTACATATTTTTTTTCATTATTAAAAGTAAAACCTTTGTCCCGATTCGAAAACCAGGAGCATCAACTGTGTCCATCCCTAAATACACATAATATTAGCAGAAAATAAGCACAGTAGATCATACATAAACTAATAAAAGACACAATTGTATCCTGTTAGTCTAAACCTTTAGACTAAATTTTTTTACACCTTTAGAGAATAATACACATGGTTAATCACAATATGGATTATGAAAGCATTTTGAAAGGACATGTTTTGGATAAAAGCTAGATGCCTAGATCTAAGTGAAGGCCAGGCTACCTAATCTAGGCATGGACCGGGCCCAGGTCGGGCCGGACTTCAGGCCGGGCCTGATCGGGCTTTTTTGGGGAAAGTTGAGGCCCGGAACCGGATATCCACCGGGTCCGGATCGGTTTTTCACCTGTTCCGGGCTGGGCCTTTGGCTGGTTCCTTTTTTTTTTTTGGCTTTTGTAATTAACCCCCCCCCCCCCCAAAACACCCAGCCAAATCCGGGAAAAACAAAAAAAAAAGGTTGAAAAAAAGACCCGAACCGGGCCTGGCAAAGCCTGCTCCTATTTTGGTTGACCCGGGCACGCCTAGGGGTGGACTTGGGCCGGGCGGTCCGACCCAGAACCGGCCCGGCCCGCCCGGTCACTGTTTGAACCGGACCGAACCGGCAGCCCGGCCCAGGGGCGGTTCGGTCGACCCGGCCCGGTGGGGTTTGATTCCGGGCTCGGGCCCTCCATTTGGTGAACCGGCCCGGCCGGTTCGGGCCCGGTCCGGGCCGAATTTATTTATTTTTTTGAATTTTTTTTAAATTTTTGGGTTGGGCTGGGTAATTTGGGCCATTTGAGGTGGTTTGGGGGTTAGGGGGGTGAGTTGGGGGTTAAATAGGAGAAGCAAAAAAAAAAATACAATCCGGGTGGCCCGGCCCGGAACCGGTGGCTACCGGTTCGGGCTCAAGCCCAAAAAACAGAACCGAGGCCCAGCCTGGCCCGAACCGGCCCATAGCCCATAGGTACGCCCTTTGTAACCCCCGGGCCGGGCCTACCTGGACCGGTCTCTGGCAGGGCCACCGGGCCAGGCCGGTTCCAAACAGTGTGGGGCCAGGCAGCCCGAAACCCAGGGGTTGAGCCGGGCCGGTTCGGGCCCGCGCTGGGCCTAGGCCCGATCAGGCCTTTGTGTTTGGGGGAAGGCCCGGGACCGGCCCGGGTTGCCGCCGGGTCCAACTCGGGCCAGGCCTCGGCCCAATTTCTGTTTTTTTCCTTTTTTTTTCCGGGAAAACTGTCAAATAGGTCCTCGAACTTTCATAAAAAAGTCAATTAAGTCCTTCTTTAGGAGGTTTTGTCCGGCCGTCGCGATTTGGGGCAGTTCCCGGTGGAATTTTTTGATGAAATTTTTTTAGCATCTTATTCACCAAGTCTAGTTTATTCATACCAAATTTCAGCTAAAAATTCAATCGGGAACACATTCAAATTAATTCTTGAAGATAACTGCACATTTTTGCGTTCTCGAATTAATTTGAATGCGCTCCCGATTAAATTTTTAGCTGAAATTTGGTATGAGTAAACTAGACTTGATGAATAAGATGCTCAAAATATTTCATCAAAAAATTTCACCGGGAACCGCCCCAAATCGCGAAGACCGGACAGAGTCTCCTATAGGACTTAATTGACTTTTTTATGAAAGTTCGAGGACCTATTTGACAGTTTTCCCTTTTTTTCCTTTTCCTACTTAACCCCGACCCCCTCACCCTCACCCCCTAAACCACCCCAAATGGCCCAGAATACCCAGCCCAA